AGTAGATCAGTCACCGTGTGTGTTACCATCTCCACCTGTCACCAGTAGATCAGTCACCGTGTGTGTTACCATCTCCACCTGTCACCAGTAGATCAGTCACCGTGTGTGTTACCATCTCCACCTGTCACTAGTAGATCAGTCACCGTGTGTGTTACCATCTCCACCTGTCGCTAGTAGATCAGTCACCGTGTGTGTTACCATCTCCACCTGTCGCTAGTAGATCAGTCTCCACCTGTCGCTAGTAGATCAGTCACCGTGTGTGTTAACATTTCCACCTGACCTGTCAATACTGACACTGACATCAGATTCACTAATTTCTATAGTAACATTTATTTTCAAACACTAGTTAACTTATATTTAAATTAACTTAAATTATTGCCAAATTAACACTCGAAGGCCCGAACAAGTACTATTTTCATAAAGTTTTATTTTGGATGTTTGTTTTGTTTCTTAATTCGGTAAAATGTAATGGTCTAAAATGACCACGCCACTACAAACAGGGTTCAAAAACAAAAAACACAATTTATTCATAATAACAACAACACTTAGAAATATATTGAACATTTAGCAAAATATAGTTAATACACCACAACCTGGCCAGGACTTGACACGAATATTAATAAACAATTTACAATAAATATTAATAAATCAACAACAACGGAATCACGAAAAAGAACCAGAAAGAAAAACTAATTTTAAAAATATAAAATACAGCAAATACAATATTCAAACAATATCTATCAATACCGAGGGACAAACAACAATAACTACCGCCTGGCAGGGTATTTATTGACAGAGTAGGTCACGAGAGTACAACCTCATGTGATCATAAATTTACATACTCTTCTGCTACATTAATAGTATCTGTACATCACCGCTAGGGAAGCTGGTGTCAGTTTCATCACACACATACATAGATATTTACTCAAAATACAAATGATTATGTAGAAGGTGAGTTTTATTGCAAATAAAAATTCATAGATAAACTAAACGATAGAAGAAAATAATGAATGAACGATAAACACAACCATAATCATAAAACATAGAATATGTTATCTCACAAAACGTGCATAAAGAAACAGTGAAAATTTAGAAAGCAGCGTCAAACTTAAATAACGAAACAATGAAAATTTAGAAAGCAGCGTCAAACTTACATAACGAAACAATGAAAATTTAGAAAGCAGCGTCAAACTTACATAACGAAACAATGAAAATTAAAAAAGAACTTACATAACGAAACAATGAAAATTGAAAGAGAACTTACATAACGAAACAATGAAAATTAAAAGAGAACTTACATAACGAAACAATGAAAATTAAAAAATAACTTACATAACGAAACAAAAAATAAATAAAAGAGAACTTACATAACGAACAATGAAAATTAAAAAATAACTTACATAACGAAAACAAAAAGAAACTAAAAGAGAACTTACATAACGAAACAATGAAAATTTAAAGAGAACTTACATAACGAAACAATGAAAATTAAAAGAGAACTTACATAACGAAACAAAAAATTAAAAGAGAACTTACATAACGAAACAATGAAAATTAAAAGAGAACTTACATAACGAAACAATGAAAATTAAAAGAGAACTTACATAACGAAACAATGAAAATTAAAAGAGAACTTACATAACGAAACAAAAAATAAAAGAGAACTTACATAACGAAACAATGAAAATTAAAAGAGAACTTACATAACGAAACAAAAATTAAAGAGAACTTACATAACGAAACAATGAAAATTAAAAGAGAACTTACATAACGAAACAATGAAAATTAAAAGAGAACTTACATAACGAAACAATGAAAATTAAAAGAGAACTTACATAACGAAACAATGAAAATAAAAAATAACTTACATAACGAAACAACGAAAATTAAAAAATAACTTACATAACGAAACAATGAAAATTGAAAGAGAACTTACATAACGAAACAATGAAAATTGAAAGAGAACTTACATAACGAAACAATGAAAATTAAAAGAGAACTTACATAACGAAACAATGAAAATTAAAAAATAACTTACATAACGAAACAACGAAAATTAAAAAATAACTTACATAACGAAACAACGAAAATTAAAAGAGAATTTACATAACGAAACAATGGAGGTTAAGAAATCAACGTCAAAGTTACATAAAGAAACAGAAAATTAAGAAAGCAACGTCAAAATATAGTACACAAATAGACAATTAAATAAGCAATGTAGAACTTACGTAAAACAATGAAAACATTAAGAAATCTACGTCAAACTTACGTAGAATGTCGAGAAAGTAACTTTAAACTTAAGTAAAAATACAGAGTAAACAAAGAAACACTTTTATAACTGACTAATGAACCCGTGAAAGGTACGAAAACAAATCAACCTTAGTCTAGTGGTTTGTTAACCAGTACTAAGTAGTTATTAACCTGTATTAAAGGACTATACTTAGTGTAGTGGTTTGTTAATCAGTACTAAGGAGTTATTAACCTGTATTAAAGGACTATACTTAGTGTAGTGGTTTGTTAATCAGTACTAAGTAGTTACTAACCTGTATTTAATGGACTATACTTAGTGTAGTGGTTTGTTAATCAGTACTAAGTAGTTATTAACCTGTATTTAATGGACTATACTTAGTGTAGTGGTTTGTTAATCAGTACTAAGGAGTTATTAACCTGTATTAAAGGACTATACTTAGTGTAGTGGTTTGTTAATCAGTACTAAGTAGTTATTAACCTCTATTTAAT